TTATGGTAATAAAAAGATATCAAAGCAACAAACACTTTTAAAAAAAATTCTTTTATTGGTACATTTTAGGTATACAATATGTTTACATTTATCATTGGCTGCTTGTACCTGTACATGATGTATCTTGGTTCTTATTTATTTCCCCATTACCTGTGTGCCCTTCACCCCCTCCACCCTTCCCTATTTACACAGATTTCATTTTCAGTTTTTTTCTTTTCTCATAATTTCCCTTTTCCCTTTCCCTCCCACCACCCCTACAACTTTGGACCTTTACCTATTTCAAATTATCAATTATTCATTTTCATCATTTTCATCCTTATTTACACTTTCAGTTTCTCACACTAGAAAAACTATTCAGTATTTATACATGTGTGTCCTATTTATTTCACTTAAGAGAGTATGGCCTACTGCTCGCTTCGGCAGCACATATACTAAAAAGAGTATCGCCTCAATATGCATCCATTTAGCTACAAATATCTCTAGTTTCTCGTTCTTTATGGCTGAGTAGTACTCCATTTTATAAAAAAAAAACACATCTTCTTTATCCAGTTTCCAGATGATGGGCACTTGGGCTGTTTCCAAGCTTTAGCTATTACAAACTGTGCTGCTATATGCATGGGTGCACATATATCTCTGTGGTACGATTCTTTTAATTCTTTGGGGAAGATACCCAGAAGGGGAATAGCTGGGTCAAATGGGACTTCTAGCCCTAGTTTTTTTTTTTCCTTTTAAAGCATAGATTTATCAATAAAATATTATATATCTTTTAATACTCTGGTATAATACTTCATACACTACAGGAAAATTAAATGTACGTGTAGTCATCAGCTTGATAAAGGGTCCTTTTCCATTAGCTTTTATTAATGAAAGAATTACAATTAGGTCATAAACAGGCAAATTATTAATTACATGATTTGAAGTTTAGGATGAAAACTTGTAAAAATTAGTTTGATATACAGTAAAGTTATACAACACACTAAAACCAACAGTTTGATATTTTTGCCTTGTGTGAACTGCCCATGGTGAACAAAGGAATAAACTTTTTAGTGATGGAAGATGCAATAACTATGTTTGGGAACTTATTTTTCAAGAGGAAGAAGGAAAAAGATTTCAACAAAATTAAGGGCTAACAGATCCTAAGAAAGACCTCTTCAAATCAGGGTGGCTCATGTGCTTGCTATCTCAAACTTTACTCCCCTGCCAACACACAGAAGACAGGACCTGCAGTGGGCTTGCATTTATTTCTACAGTCTAAGCATCCCTGGACGATGACTAAACACTTCACAGCTGCATCCCTTTCCATATTCCCCTGACCTAGTACAACCCCAGACGTATTAGCTCTTAAAATCCCCAGTAAAATAACCCCTAAAAATAATCTTGACCATTTGTTTGGCTGTTATAAAGCAGCTAGGCTCTGTAAAGAATGCAAGGATATCAAGAGAAGTCCTACACAGTTTCCCACCCCATTTTGCTGTGTTGGAAAAGTCATTAATTTCAATGAGGCCCACACACTGGATATGAGGGGCCTTTTAAAAACAACAACAAAAAAGCTAGTAAGACTCTTGAAATCTGGCTTTAAAAAAACACCTCAATGCCACATGTCAGATAATTTCTTCACCCCAGATATAAAAATCCTAGGCTTTTAATTATAAAATAGTCAGCCAGCTACGGGATATCGTGCATATTTAATATCCACCAACAACCCAGAGTAGATTCCACATGGGCACCAAGCACACCTGTTTTCCAGGTAACCTGATTCACCTCCTACTGACTGCTCAGGCCCTGGGCCCTTTGACATCCTCATGAACCATCTCTTTGGAACTTTCATTTTCATTCTTGATTCGACCCCACATCTTGAGCTATCCCCATCTTCCCAGCCCCACTGTCTGATTCTCCCACATGTAGAGCGACCACACCTGAAAACCCACCACCACCTTTACCACAAGACAGACCCAGCGACCTGGACACTACTGTGAATCTGGTCCTGGCATCAGTTTATATAACAACAGGATGGTTTGCTGACCCTGTGGAGGGAAACCAAAGTGAAATCAATGTGCTGCAACAAAGCTTGCCAAGATCAGGTATTTCCATTCTGAGTACAAAAATCACCGATCACCGGCTCCAGGCAGATTTGTTTGTACAATCAAACCCTGTATGCTGCTGAAAGACTTTGCCCCTGAAGTCCAGAGTCAAAGCATTACCACAAAATCAAAAATGATTCAATGTGACAACGCAGTAAAAAGAACAGGATGCACGATCCTGGCTGCAAACACTGAACTGGAATCTCTTTCTTTGTAGGCTTGACAAGAAGACAGGAGTCATTACCTCCCCCTAATAAGGTGGCACCTGGAGGCCACACTTGTGCTCCGAAACAATTCTGCCTTCCATGCAAGAATCGACACACATTTTATCTATGACAATGGCAGTCACTGCACCCCCCAGCTACCCAGGCTTTCCAGAGAGTGGAAGGTGGGGAAAAGGAGTCCTTCTGTCAGGAGCCAAAGCAAGAAGAATCTGAGTAAGGACACAGAGCAC